TGACCGGAGCCTGCCAATCTTCTGGCTGAAGAGAAGGATGAGGATCTTCTGTATGAATAATCTTGCCTGCTCTGGTTCTTTCAGAAGTTCTGACATGACACCATTTTAGTTCAGTGTGTAGGTTTGGTTCGTGTGGCTGTTTATTTTTTGGTCTAATTTCACTGGTTGTAAAACGCCTTAGGAACCAGCAGTGGTCTCAGGCCAGTACAAGAAGGCCAGCTACTGTACAAGCGTCCTCCATTCCTACCCACTCACACCCCCTGGCGCTATTATCGGAGGGAGCTGCAGCCATCCTGTGTTTCTGTGGTACTTCTCCAGCTCTAGGAAAGCCTTCCCTTAATTTACCTTGCATGACAGGTCTCTGCTCTCTCTGTCATGGAACAGTTTTGCCAATTTGCATGTGACTGTGGTATAAACAATAAAATGATTTTTAAAAAGTGTTATGTTGATGTAGTATTCTTTTTAGCATTATAAAAGTGTCCATCTTTGTCTCTTCTTATCTTGAAATCTATTTTGTCAGATATAAGTATGGCTGCACTTGCTTTTCTGCGGATGTTATTTGTTTGGAGAATCATTGTCCACCCTTTACTTTGAATCTTCCTTTGTCTTTGCAGCTCAGATGTGTCTTTTGTAGGCAACATATGGTTGGGTTTTGTTTTTTGAGCCACTCTGCTACTCTCTGCCTCTTTATTGGGGCATTCAGACCATTTTCATTTAGGGTAATTATTGATGTATGAGGATTTCCTATAGCCATTTTATTTATTTATTTTTTCTGGTAGCTCTCTGTCTCCATTGGTCCTTTTCCTTTGTGATCTGTTTGTTGTTTTTGTTTGATGGTATTGCATACTTCTTTCCGCTGTTTCCTCTTTTTTTTAAACTATGTGTCCTGTTTTGTCAATATTTGTGTGTGGTTACCTTTAGGTTTATAAAAAATAAACTTGCATATATACCCTAGCTTTTTTTTCTTTTTAGTACATCTGATCTCCATTCTTTTTTGTTAGTTCACCTTTTATGTTTTTGTTGTCACAAATTATCCCTCTTTATGCTTCAAGTTTTTGGTGATCTTACTCTTACTGTTATGACTTTATGTTCTTTGCTTCAGGTAGAATTACTCCCTTAAGTATTTCCTGCAATGGAAGTTTTCTGGTGATAAAATCCATCAGTTTCTGTATGTGTGGGAATATCTTTATTTCTCCTTCATATTTATTTAAAGTATAATTTTGATGGATATATTATTCGTGACTGGTAATTTATCTCCGACATTTGAATATTTGGTTCTACTCTCTTCTGGCTTGTAGAATTTCTGCTGAGAAATCAGATGAACTTCTGATGTGTTTTCCTTTGTAGATCCCTTCCTTCTTTTCCCTGGCTGCTTTGAGATTTTTATTTTTTATTTTTATTTTTTGTCATTCATTTTTGACAGCTTTAATACCCAGTGCCTTGGAGAGGGCCTCTTTGGATTGAGGTAACTAGGTGTTCTGTTTGCTTCTTGGATTTGTGGATTTAGTTCTTTCCATAAGTTTGGAAATTTCTCATCAACTATTTGTTTTAATAGACTCTCCATTCCATGCCCCCTCTCCTCTTCTGGAATGCCTATAATTTTAATATTGCTTTTTCTGATGGAGTTAGATAGTTGTCATAAAGCTCTTTCAGTTTTCTTTATGCTCAGGTCTCTCTCTTCTCCCCTCTGCATCATTTCTATATTCCTATATTTGACACCACTAATTCTTTCCTTCATCTGGTTGGCTCTGTTTTCTATGCTTACTAGTTCATTCTTAATCTTCTTAATTGCATGCTTCATTTCTAGGGTTTCTGTTTGGTTCTTTTTTAAAGTTTCAATCTTTTTAGTATAGTACTTACTTTGTTCATTGATTTGTTTTCTGAGTGCATTGAATTTCCTGTCAATAGTTTCTCATATCTCATCTAGTATTTTCAGAACTGCAATCTTGAAATCTCTGTCATTTATATCACATATTTCTATCTGTTCCAGCTTACTTTCTGGATATTTTTCATTTTCTTTCTGGTCATCTCGTTACTGTGGTTATTCATGGCATTTGCTGTCCTCCTTTGCCTACACATTTATCTCTAAAGAGGTCTTTCTACTTTTTCTAGTAGATGGTGCTGAGTTGCCAGATTTTTTACCTCTGTGATCTCCCAGTCATGAACTTCTGCAGCTTCCCTAAGATAGTACAGCTGTGCTGCTTGAGGGTTGATTTTAGCTTGCTCTCACCATAATGGTGACCCCTGACCTCCATGAGTCCTGCCCCAAGCACTCCGATTGGGGGTCAACCACAGCAGAATACAGCAGTTCTATTGCAATAGCTCTTGGTTTACAGATAATATACTCCTAATTCAACTCCAAAGGCAAAGGCTGAGTTTGGGGATTCCATGCGGTGACAGGGCTCTGTGGTTCCATTTCTTTGCCTGAAACATGACTGCCAGCCTAGTGGTGGAGAGTCACAAGGCAGAACCCTGTGCTCTGTCAGGAGCCTGCTGATTCAGACACTTTTCGCTTCCTCGCTGCTTAGTCTCTCAGGGGTCTGCTGGTTCAGACACTGTTTGCTTCCTTGCTGCTCACCCTGGTAGGCTACTCATGCCCCCTGCCTCTGTTCCTGCTACTGCCAGCTTCCTCCACTATCCCAGCTGGCCAAGCTACGAGCTCCCGGCTGCAAGGCTGCAGCTGGAGAATATCTGCACTTTTTTCCCTTCTCGTCTTCCCCTTTACCCACCTTTATATGTTTCAATGTGCAGGTACCTCAGGCATGCATCTGTGTTGAGCAGAGATGTCTTTGTTCAATTATCGTTGGTTAAGTTGTTGAAATTTAAAGGGGAGAAGACAAAGGGCTCTTTCATGCCGCCATTCCTCTGACATAAGATGTCCTTTGAGTGACATCTTAAAGGCATTATTTTCAAAGCTGGTATTAAATCTTAAGCTTTATTAGATCTCATTAGGTGTACATACATTTTGTTAGATATATTAATGTTTGTGAAATTATTATGACTACTGAAGGATCATTGAATCTCAGGTATTTTTAAACAAATGAGTTATTTGATGCATCCTTTTTACTACAATTATAGAATTAAGACTTGGCAATATAGTATCTAAAACATGGGCTTATATCAGTTGTGTAGTATATTAGGCTAAAAGTAATGAAGTAACATGCCATAATTTAGTCAGTGGAATTGGATTTGTTTCAAAAAGACAAATGCCAGTTTTGTTTGTTCTGCCCAGTGCTTGACTAATATAATGAATAGTTTATAAAAATTCACCTAAATAATGATTGATTAACAAATTCTTTACTGGCCTCTTGGCTACTCAGACTAATGGTTTAGATTGATTTTGAAATTCCCTTTTTGTTTGAAGTAAAGCTAATTTTTAAAATTTTATTTCCCTTCCTTATTATAGATGTAACATTTAAATTTTTAATATTTATTTAGTTATACTCACTTAACTGTATCTCAGTATAGAAAATAGCAAAATCTGTTGCATTTAACCATATGGTTAAATTTAAAACATGCTAGTTAAGCCCACCTGGTGTAGTTCAGGGGTTGAGTGTTGACTTATGAACCAGGAGGTCACGGTTCGATTCACAGTCAGGGCATGTGCCCGAGTTACGAGCTAGATTCCCAGTGTGGGGCGTGCAGGAAGGAGGCAGCCAATCAATGATTCTCTCTCATCATTGATGTTTTTATCTCTCCTTCTCCCTTCTTCTCTGAAATCAATAAAAATATATTTTTTAAAAAGCCTACTAGTTAATACTATTGAAATTGTTTTTGGTTCTCTGATATTGATTATGAGAGACGTTGAAAGATGAAATCAATCCTTCACATGAATGCTGGCAATGACCATCATCCTTACTTTTTGAGAAAGACATATCTTAGATAAATCTAGACTGTTGGGATTAAAGAGGGATCTTATAATTTTTCTCTTTTGGTGGAAATGCATAATCAGTATTTTTATTTTTTCATTGGTGAGGAAGTCCAGTGATCTAGTTTCTTCTTAATAATTACCTGGCCTTATAGGGCTTCAGTTCCTTATCCAAAACCCTTGGGGCCTGTTATCTTCTGTTATTCAGATTTAAAAATATGTACTTTAGATTAAACAGAAACAAAACAAAACCTAATAGACACAAATAACAGTATGCTGATTATCAGAGGGAAAGCGGGCCGGAGAGAGATAGAAGAGGGTAAAGGAAGAATAAATGGTGATAGAAGGAGACTTGACTTTGGGTGGTGAACACACAATACAATATACAGATGATGTATTACAGAATTTTACACTTCAAACCTATATGTTTTCATTAACCAACTAGACGCCCGATGCACAAAATTCATGCAAGAGTTGGCCTTCCTTCCTCTGGCTGCTGGCACTGGCTTCCCTCTGGCATCCGGGACCTGGGCTTCCCTCTGGCACCCAGGGCCCGGGCTTCCCTCCCATCACTGGCAGGCACCAGGGACCTGGGCTTCCGTCCGGCCACTGGCAGGCACCCAGGACCCGGGCTTCCCTTGCAGCCCCGGCTTCGTCCAGTCTAATTAGCATATTACACTTTTATTATTATAGATGTCACCTCAATAATTCAATAAAAATATGTATTTTAGAAAGTAATACTGTATAGATACTGATATGCTATATATGATGTAACATTCTTAGCAGGGTCTGAGGAGGCAGTCTTTAGTTGAACATATTAATATTTCTGCCGTCAGATGTATGAATATTCACATTAAATGAGAGAAAGGTAGAAAAAAGAGCCTTATATCCATTTGGGTCAAGTTTTGTTGCTAAACCAGTTATGAAAACCTTAGGATTCCAGAGTTTTTTGAATTTTGAATTTCAACTAATCAATTGTGAGCCTGTAATATGTTACGTATTAAAACATTAATATGTATAATGCTTTTAACAAGTAATTTAAAATATAATAAAATTATATCTTTATTTGGTGGTTATCAATTTTTCCACTTTTACCTTTCATTTCATCCTCTAAAATATTTTCTTTGTACAGCTGCTATATTCTCGAGGATTGCTTATTGATCTTCTAATCAAATCTAATGTCAGTCACTATGCAGAGTTCAAAAATATTACCAGGATTCTTGCATTTCGAGAAGGAAGAGTGGAACAGGTACTGTGCTGATCAAGTATTGTAACTGGATATGAGCTTAATTTATTATGGTTTGTTTTGGAAGGATGAGCAAAGTATGATTATTTTCCTAGTAAAGCAGAAAATCTCAGTCCTGGATGATGATTTACAAATGTAAATATTAACAAATTGCTCAATTAAAATTTGTTTAATTTTTTTCCACGAGATCTTCTGTAACTTGATCTTGGTTGAGAAAGTGTTAATTTTGGGCAACATTGCCAGATTTGAGATGCCTTTTGTTCCCAGTTAGGGGTGACATGCCATTGGCCTCCCCTGCCTCCTACCCCCCCGCCCCTGCAGTGGTTGAAATATTTTATTGCACCTTTGGTGACTGGTTGTGGGAGCAGTCCCTCCACCTAGGATAGCACCCTACAGAGGAGACCATCTCAGTCCTTGTAGCCCAGGAGCCAGACTGGACTGAGCCCCCAGGGCATCCTATGGAAAATGGCACAGCATAATTACCAATAAAATAATCATAATAAAAATAAAAAGTCACACCCTACCCGGTTTGGCTCAGTAGATAGAGTGTCAGCCTGTGGACTGAAGGGTCCTGGGTTTGATTCTAGTCAAGGGCACATGCCTGGGTTGTTGGCTCGATCCCCAGTGAGGGGGTGTGCAGGAGACAACCGATCCATGATTCTCTCTCATCCTTGATATTTCTATCTCTCTCTCCCTCTCCCTTCCTCTCTGAAATCAATGAAAATATATTTTTAAAAAAAGTCTCTGTTTTGACTACTCTTCAGGTTTCCCACTGGAAGTGTGCAAAGCTATTGAAGTACATATTCAGAGTTTTGTGAGTTTTGTCTTAGCCTTAAATAGTGCCTGTCCACTTTCCTCTGATAGATTTCTCAATTCAGCACATGCAGAGGGGCTGGCTTGTTCACAAGGTCTTCTCTTCAGACATCCATTTTGTTCCCTGCATCCCACAGCTCTGAGACAAGCTTCAGTCTCCCCTATAGTAGCTCTTCTGTATAGATGCGACAAGCACCTGTGTCTCTTTGGTCCGTACCTTCTTCTCCAATGCCTGTAGCCTCTGCTTCACGGTAGAGAAGATCCACTCCAATGCTGAGCCCAACACATAGCAACTTGTGCCATTTGAGGTCAGACATGCCCATTAGACCATCATAGCGCCCTCCAGCAGCCACACTGCACATACCGAGGGTCTCTTCCCCTGCCTGGGCTGGGGTTTGTAGCAGCACTGCCTCATGGATCACCCCAGTATAGTAGTCCAGCCCCCAAACAAGGGTCAGGTCGAAGGAGATCTTGTCAGCAGTGCCAAGCAGGGTCAAGTACTCAACAGCAGCTTTAGGTCCCCCAGGCCTTCCAAGGCCTGCTTGTTTTTGGACGGTTTAGGATCCTGGAGCAGCTGTTCCACCAGAGATACCGCACCATGCTGCTGGATGAAGTCCCCAGTGTGGCCAGCCACCTCAGGTGTGAGGCCCTTCTCTCCCACCATCTCATTCTTTACTTGCTCCCAGGACACCTTGTCTAGCCTGTCCACTGATGAGCAGATGGGGTGGAATTTGCTATTAGGAACTCCACAGATTATAAGCTAGGATGTGCTGATCATTCACCTTGACCAGAAAGTCACCTATCTGAAGTGAATTCAGGATCTCACTCATTCATGATCTTTAGGCACTCTGCATCAGGAATCATGGAGTCAAATTACTCAGCAATGTCAAAATCCTACAAGGGGAGAGGTAGTTAGAGGTCCTTGGGAGTTTCTTAAGTGGGGATTCCTGGGAACTCTTCTCTCTCTGAAGGCCAGTTTGCACTTATGCATAGACCATTTTCTTCTTTCTCTGATCATCAGCCCAGAGGAAAACCCCAGCATTCTTGGGTCTGTTACTATTTCTGGTTTCCTTTCCATCTATTGGGCTATTCCAGTGGTCGGCAAACTGTGGCTCTTGAGCCACATGCGGCTCTTTGGCCCCTTGAGAGTGGCCACGAAGTTTCAGTCGCACTGTATGTGCGCGCCCACACGTGGTATTTTGTGGAAGAGCCACACTCAAGGGGCCGCAGTTTGCCGACCACTGCTATTCCTTCATCATCGCACTCACCTACTTTTCCTATTTCCTCCTACCACTGGGCGGGGGAAGAGGGGGGAGGAGAGTCAACTATACAACCACCATTGGCCTTTTAATGACATAAGGAGTAACTTAATAAATTGTGAGAGCTCACAAGTTAATTAGCTCTGGAGTCCACAGAGATCTTATTAGAACTGATGGAAGGTAATGTGACACAGCCTGGCTAGAATGGAAATAATCTTGTTATACTTAAATGGGAAAAAAAAGTTTTTTGGAATACTTGTTTATCACTAGGAAGCAGTTTCTTAACTTAAAAAATCATGTGTTTCAGGTTCCTTGTTCGAGAGCAGATGTCTTTAATAGTAAACAACTTACTATGGTAGAAAAGCGAATGCTAATGAAGTTTCTTACATTTTGTATGGAGTATGAGAAACATCCTGATGAATATAAAGGTACTGTGTTCATTTAATTGTGTTCTACAATTATTTAAGCTTTCTTATTGTTTTAATGTTTGCTCTAATGTAATGAGCCAATTATTACTCTTTTAAAATACATTCTTACTGTGCACTATCCATTAGGTTAGCCACTAGCAACATGTAGCTATTAAAATTAATAAAATGTAAAATTCAATTCTTCAGTCACACTAACCATATTTCAAGTATCCAATCACCAAATGTAGTTAGTAGCTATTGTGGCTACAGTGCAGGTATAGAATGTTTTTATCGTTGAAGAAACGCTGTGCTGTGTGTTAATTTTTATTCTTCTTAATTAAATATTGTTGACAACTGGTTCTTCATAGATGATACAGTAGTCCCCCCTTATTCACAGGGCATATGTTCCAAGACCCCAAGTGGATGCCTGAAACTGCAGATATTACCAAACACTATTTACACTAGGTTTTTCCTATACATACATTCACTTTGTGGCTTCTCTTTGATTACGAATTGCCAGTGTCACTGCTCTTATTAAGTACTAGAGGCCTGGTGCATGAAATTCCTGCACTCAGAGGGGGTGTCCCTCAGCCTGGCCTGTGCCATCTCGCAGTCTGGGAGCCCGCAGGGCATGTCCGACTGACAGCTTAGGCCTAAGCTGGCAGTCAGACATCCTTAGAGCTGCTGTGGAGGCGAGAGAGGTTCCTGCCACCGCCCCTGCACCCACCAGCCATAAGCCTGGCTTGGGGTTTCTGGCTGAGAGGTGCTCCCTCTGTGGGAGTGCACTAACCACCAGGAGGCAGCTCCTGTGCTGAGCATCTGCTCCCTGGTGGTCAGTGTGCATTATAGTGACCGGTCTTTCTGCCATTCGGTTGATTTGCATATTGACCTTTTATTATCCTATCTAATAAAAGAGAAAGATGGTAATTGGCATACGACTGCTACCCTTCCCATTGGCTAATCAGGGAGATATGCAAATTAACTGCCAGCCAAGATGGCAGCCGGCAGCCAGGCAGCTTGAAACTAACATGAGGCTTGCTTGCTTCAGTGACAGAGGAAACCAACATTCCCCGCCTGCCTTGCAGGCCTCTGAGCCTGCAGTTTGAAACATTTTAACAAATATAGAAACTAAAAGAAACCCCAGAAATCAGCTTTCAGCGAGCTGGGATCTCAGAGCTGGAGTCAGAGATGGAGTTATACATTGTTTTGAACCGAAACAAACCAGATACCTTCTTTCAGCAGCGGAGGCCTAAGAGCTGGAGCCTCAGAGCTAAAGCGGGCCCAGAATTTAAAAAAAGAAAAAGAAAAAAAGGAGCGGTTGGGAGATTCCATCACCCGCCAGCCTGAAAACAGCCCTCAGCCCCTCACTCAGACTGGCCAGGCACCCCAGTGGGGACCCCCAC